TTCTAATAAATAAGGTTTGCTAGAAATCTAACTCAGACAAATAACTTCACTCTAAATATAGATAATCACTACTCAGATAATATAACAGATATTAATATTAATAATATATCTAAGCAGGATATCTTAGTCGAGAGTAAGCTAGAGCCTATTAGTAGTTAGGTTAAGAAGATTATTTATAGTAAAACTTTAGTATAGTCCGATAAGATAGTTAAGTAATTCTTTATAACTAATAAATCTTAGTTTACAGAATATAAATAATTCTTTTAAAAACTTAATTAATAGATCTAGGCGGCTAATATAGAGTATATAATAGATAATATTAATACTAGTATTATCCCTAAAACTAGCTATAATAGTCTCTATTAAACTTAATAATAAACAGCTAACTAGACTATCATAAGAAAATCCCTATAAGACTTCTAAAAAACTTTTAATATAACCTATAATCTTTTTAATACTTTTAATAAAAGATACCACCTTCCACAAAGTTAGAATATTAATAAAGTATAGATAGAAAAACTAATTAGAGTCCCAAATCTAGATCTCTAGAAAGATCTAGAAGCTGATTTCGCTAGCAATCATCTAAGTATCAAATTAGATATTATCGCTAAAAAAAATAGTATTTCAGGATTTGATATCTTAGAGACAAAGACAATCAAATAATAATACTAATCAAAATTAGCAGAAGTTTTATACTAGTAGTCTAAAAAAATAAGATTACAGATATTTATATACTACAAAAACTAGAAGATATCTATATATTAAATTTATACTAGTTTATATAAATCTTATAATAAGACTTAGATAAAAATAAGTCTTAACCTTATAAGCTCGAGAAATAACTAAAATAATAAAGACTAAGAATAGGTTTTTTAAGAAATACTAGAAATATAAAAGAGAAGATATAAAAGACTTAATTAGTATGGGTTAGAAGATAGAAGATAATAATAAAGAGAGATTAAACCTATTTAATTATCTCTAATCTATAAAAAAAAGCTATTTATTCTTAAACTTATTATCTAGTAAAATAAAAGAATAGTATCACGATACTAGAAAGATAAGCCTTTCTCTATTATATCATATATAACTCAATACTAGATAATAACCGAGTGATATACTAAAAAGTTGTTAAACTTAAGAATATTTACTAAAAAATATAAGATCTCGAAAAGTAGGAAGATATTAATAAAAAAGACTATATAGATAATACTAAGAGTGATATATCTTCTAACTTAGCAAGTTCGCTCTATAATAAATCTTAAAGAGAACTAGTATACTCTTTTAAAGTTTTAAAGAAGACTAAAAATTATCGGTATTATAAAGATAGTAATAGTAATAATATAGAAAGTCTTATCTCATAAGTTTTATCCTTAAAAAGATATTATAATAGAGCAGCCTTTTATTATTAACTAGGATAAGAAAAGTTTAAGAGTTATAAAATTATAATCTAGAAGTTTAAATAAGAGATTATATAACTTAAGATAAGAAAATTATTAAAGAGTTATTATAAGATATATTAATTATATTAATAATAAGATAATAACTCTTTCTTATAATAAGTAATATAGATATTAATATATTTATTTATTAGTTTATATAAATTTATCTTTTTTATAATATTCTTTTAGAGAGATAGATTTTTGGTTTTCTATATAGTTATTTCTTATTTTATTATTTATCTTTAGTTTCTTATAGATATAAACAGATCTTATATTAATAATTAAGTTTTTTTTTTCGAAATTAGAAGTCCTTAGCTTATCACTTTATATTTTGGCTGTAATTATTAACCTATCTATTACTTTCTAGTAATTACTATAGATCTTTTATCTTTTTTTAAAAAATTATTCCTTAAAATATATAGATATATTCTAGATATCTAGGTTAGAAAGAGAAATGTTAGACGAATAAGATATCCTTTTAGAAAATAGTAGATATAAGATATTAACAGTTGTATTTAATATATAATATATATATATAAAACTAAAATATATAGATCTATCTATTAAGATATCCTGAACTTATAAAAACCGATAAGCTATTACTCTAACAACTTAAGATCTTTTCTGTAATATATAACCTATCTAAGTATCTAGTTTATAATAGTATCTCTAGAGAATCTTTAGGCTATCTCTCTTCTAAAGAAATTTATTTAATTTATAATCTTTTTTAATATTAATAATATTCAAGAGATCTCTAAGGTTTATGATTTATTTTATATTATTATACTATCCTAGTAGTTTTGAATTAATAAATAATAGTTCTAGGATATAACTTATAAGCTTATCTAGAAAGATCTTAATATAATAAATACTATTCGAGAGATTTTGATAGAACTATTAAAAAGATCTTTATCCCAAAGATCTATAATATAATAAAGATATCGTCGAGATAGCCTATTATATTAGCCTTTTTATATCTTATAAATATCTGTCCGATATAGCTCTAACTTCGATATCTATCCTAAATAATTAGCTAAGTATATTAATATAAGAGATTAGAGTATTATACTAGATATTAAAGCCTAACTAGCAGAAGAAAGTACTAAGTAAGCTAAACAAGCTAAATATATTATATAAATACTAATATCTTTATCCTTCTAATATAGCTCTAATTTTGATATTTATCCTTTATAGCTAGGAAAATATACTAATATGAAAGATTAGAATATTATACTAAATATTCAAGTCTAACTAGTAGAAGAAAGTACTAAATAAGCTAAATAAGCTAAATATATTATATAAATATTAATATCTTCATCTCTCTAATATGGCTCTAACTTCGATATTTATCTTTTATAGCTAGGAAAGTATACTAATATAAAGGATTAGAATATTATATTAAGTATTCAAGCTTAATCAGTAGAAGAAAGTATCAAGCTAGCTAAAGAAGCTAAACATAATATATAAATATTAATATCTTTATCTAATTTTCAAGATTTTATTTTTCAAGTTATATAGTCTCTCTAGTATATAAAACTTTTTTAGGAAGAAGTTCTATTAGCTTTCTACTAATTAATCTTTCGCTCATTTGCTAAATATAATAATAAATAATTATCTATCTTATAATATTAATCCGATAGTTTAATATTTGTTTATATGATTGAGGCTAGTATTGCTTCTTAGAAAAAAAAGGAAAATCCTTAATATACTAGAATATATATAGACTTATAAGTAGTATTAAGACTAGGTAGATTATATTAGAAATAAGATTTTTATAAAGTGACAGAAACTTATCAGTAATAGGACTATTATAGACCATATATTTAATATAATCTAAAAGTCTATAATACTAAGATATATCTTTAAGTATAAAAAAAATCTTTAGTATAGCTAGATTAAGAAATAACTTCTTAGGGAGAAGATATTTAGTATTAAATTAGTAAAAGAACTTGGGCTGGATATCTTATTTAGTCTAGAGATCTAGTATAGTAATAAAAGAAAGAGTAAAAATATAGATACTAATTTATATAATAAAGATTATATAAAATTTAGTTTAAAAGAGCTAGACTAGCTTATCCACAATTTCAGGAATAATTATTAGTTTATAATATTATTTAAAGTTTTGTCAAAACAGTTATATATATTTATCGAATAAGATTATCTAGATCTAAGATAATTCTTTTTAGATCTTAAATCTAGTAAGACTTTAGATTTTGTAGACCTGGTTTTTATAGAGCAGATAGAGACTAAATATATAAGATATTATATCTTCTTTATAGATCTAACTCTCAATTCTAATTATAGATAGGCTAATCTGTCTATCTAGTAGAATTGCGATTTGCTGGCCCGCCGCCTGTTTCGGCGCCCCCTCTCAACGGGTTTAGCGCCGTGGCACCGCCGCCCGATCCGGGATCGCGTCCCTCCCCTTGCGGTTTAGCCCGTCCGCAACGGGTTTGGCGTTTAGCGCTACCCCAGATCGGGATCTGCCGTCTCGCACCGCCCGCCTCGCGACCTCCCCATCTATATAACCCGCGGTGCGTCGCTCAACGATGATTCCTTTCTTTCCCACCCTCCTTGCCCCTCCCTCCCATTGTCTTTTGCCTGCGCCATCCCCTGGTCGCCCCACTCCCCCTCCCAGCTGAAGCCTCTACGCCCCGAGCACAGCCTGGTTCCCCTCTCCCGGAAATTGGGACGGCTCGGTCTGGCCATGCAAGTTGCCCGGATCGTGACAGGATGACCCGGTTCTGATAAGCCCCAGAACGTCATTCGTCCCAGACTCTACGCCGCGAAGGGCCGCTCTTTCGGCCGGTGCACACATCACCTTCGGACTGCCTGGTCACTAGCCATGCGGAGAGCCATAGAGGGGGCGCGGTTGACCACGCTCTGTCCCAGGCTACAGACCGCGAATGCCGCGCAATGCGCCCCAGATGATCACCTCTGCTCATCCAACCATCCTTCGACGGGGCCAATCTCGGCGTGGCTCGTCAGACCCGCTTTCGCTCTCCAACCAACCGCAAAAATGCCTCGAGGCGCTCAGGCTTCCAGCTGAGCTGAGACAACAGAGTCATCCATGAACGGCTTGCATCACCGGCTTGCGTCAACGGCGAATAGGACGCCGGTGCTCAGGTTGAGGGATTTTCGTCCTTTGTCGATCTCTTCCCAATCCATCAATTGTCAGCTGAGGCGTCTTGAAGGCTGTAACGTTGCAGGGCGGATGCTACGAAACCAAGGCGCCCTTCGCCCCGAGTGGGATACTGTGGAGTGATCATTCGACGCAAGCAGCGAGTTGGATCAGCGAGGCGGCGGTGGCGCAGTTCTCCGTTGAGTGTGGTGGGTCTACAAGGCGATATACTGCATGATTCCCCTGCTGGTAATGCTCTGACGGCACCTGGTTATATGAGAAGGCTGACTGGCCTCCTTCTCATTTTTTTCCTTTACTTGGTGTATATGATTCAAAACGGACGTGGACACACCAGCCTAGTCACCTCCGCACTCTTGTCCATAGTTGCTTCATCATCTACCGGTATCTTCCTCCACTTTGCCTTCACTACCCTCGGGGAAATGAGGGTGGATCTTGACCAAATCGAATTCTACCATGGCCCAAGCCGCCGGTCACCTTTTACCAGTGCCAAAAGCGTGACTGGGGGTCACGCTCCCACTCATGTGCCGCGATACTTCCAGCAATCCTTTCCGACTGGATCCGGCTTCCGTCCAGGACGGGACGAGGTTCTTCTCGGACAGCCGCCGCCAGTGACCGGTTCAACCCACGAGTGGAACATATTTGACTTCGAGATCAACAATGTCTACGTTTCAACTCCGTCTGAAGTGGCGAAAGACGTCGGGATTCCAGTGGCAAAGGATATCCCAGCAGCCTGTGATATCCCAGTGGAATTTGGATCTTCGGCCTTGGCGTTGCCAGAGTGTATGCCATTGACAGACTCTGCGGAAACAAACCCGTGCCCTGCAAAGCTTGACCACCTAGATCACGTTATGCGGGAAAACGATGTACCGGGTACGTTGACAATACCTCATAATGAAAGTCGGCGGCCATCCTCTCAATGTCTAACTCTTCTTTCATCAGACGCTGTTACCGGCGCCGTTGCCGATGCCATGCAGATGGAGACTTCTCACCTGTCGGGTGTGCCTGATGTGACGGTGCCGATTCCTGCACCCGCACAAGCGGACCATGTTTCTAGCGACTCATCAATGACGAGTGATTCCCAAAAAGAAATAGTCAAGCGGAAGGTTTCTACGGCGGGGTCAGACATCCTGTGCCCCGGGGACTACGAGAATGGTACGGAGCCAAGTCAATCATCCGGCCTAGTTGAAAATCCATGCTCTAGGGCAAACGATACCCCGGAGCGGACTAAAGATTTTGGCACTAGTGAAGAGATATCGACCCCATTGGTCCCGTCCGCGGTACCGACCGTGCGCTCTACTTCAGCATCTTATCGTGTTCAAAGGACCTCAGATTCCAATATCCCGGTGCGCCATCCTTCGGTAGCTGTGGTTGTACCTGCACCATCACCGTCCTGGAAGCAAGGAGTTGTCAGGAGAAGCACAAGGGCCGCTGCGGTAGTATGCAAGAAGCGACTCCGTTCAGGTCGAGACATCTGCCATCGCCGAGATCGGACCACCACCTTCCATGACACTGAACAGCCTCAAAAGAGGACGAAGAAACGGAGACTTTCAATTAGGCCGATTTCCAACGCTTCCGACGCTTCCATTCCCGTTGCATCTCATTGCGCTGGTGCTATCCAGGGTGTTCGTGGGAGCGCTCTCTTGACGGTCGAATCTAATCCGGGGTTGAACCCGGCATATTTCTTTACGTTCGTACCCGAACCTAGCCCGACGCGGTCTCGACATGACCCAGCAGCTATCCCACGGAAAAAAAGAGAATACACGTCGGACGAGAATGCGCTGCTGGTGCGGCTGAAGGAAAAGGAGGCAATGTCATGGTCCGAGATTACGACTTACTTTCCCGACCGAGATACGCCATCTCTTCAAGTCCATTATTCCACCAAGTTACGCCATAAGGCCAGCTCTCGGTCTGGGAAACCGAGGAGACGCAAATGAGAGCCTGTGCTGTCGGAATATATCTTGGTGTGTATCGGTTGGCGTTTCGCGTATAAACCCTCTATAGCCATCGGTTTCAGTACAAGCATCGAGTGGTTAGTTTTGCCGATTCCGAGTTAGCGCCCCAATACATCGTCACGTAACCTCTTCCTCCAAAGGCTAGAAGACCGGACCTCTCTTTGACTCCTCTTTCTTGCACTCATCGTCGGCCTGTTTCTTCACTCGCCCAGCGATTAACTTCACCTTGGGTTTCAGCCAGACACGTATTGTTATTTGACAACCAATTCGGGTTTAGTGCATCCTCTTTAGGCTTAGCGCTTAGTGCCCCTTAACATGACAAGTGTGTGGAACTGTCTCCACTCCATCTATAAAACCACCTCCCAACCCCTCTCTCCTCTTCCTCCTGTATTCCCCCCCCCCCGGTCTCTCACTGGGCAAACAGGTGAGGCATTTTTGCTATTGATCCGGACCCTCCGTCACTGTGCCCACTCAGCCGTCTCTGGTGCAATCATAAGTGATTGGTCGCTGGCTCGCTCTAATCCACCGACCTGATCCTGATGCTATATTTACTATAAGACCCGAAATACGCCTTCAATGCTTGCTCAGCTGCTTAGCCGCGCTCATGGATATCTCTGCGGACTTCGAATGGAACGAAAAGGCTTGCGACGATCGCCTGCGCGATTTTAGGATCCTCCTGGATTCTCGATTACGGCTCCTCGGGCGCGGAGACCGCTCTCCCACCGGCGAGCGATTGTTGGATCCAGCATGAAGAGGGTTGGTGGGACGGTTACGTTCAGGTCCTGTGCATTGACTCGTTCTACTCGCGCCGACAGCACAGCCTAGTGATCCCACCCATATGCCCAAGCCGAGAAACGATTGGTGACCGGAGCTCCGTCTCGACCGAGCCTGCTGCAAGGCTCGCTGGCGACAGCACAGGTAGCGGGAGGCCTTGCCGGCGAAAGGGCCCAGTACGGAGATTGCCACGACTCGCGTGTTTCGCATGTCTCTCGCCGGGGGGAATGGTTGGCCGCCGGGCTCAACTTCGAGCGACGCTACTGCAAGAGGGTCACGCACTGTGTCGATCGAGCGCGAAGAATGGCACCGTCGTACTCATCGGAGCTGTGCAAAGCAGGGAATATACCAACTATTCCTTGTTTAGCCAGTGGCGCAATGCAGCCAACCTTGGCCGGAAGTATCCCATTATAGGGGGCCGATGTATGAGGCCCCTTTCTGAGGGCTATAAAGCTGAGGCAAGGCCCGACAGGATTCTAGCTTTTCAGTCCTGCTACTGATACTAGTATCTTCTTTTTTGATGTCCGCCATGACGAGTTCTCATTTGCTTGTTCATCCACGTAAGGCCTCTGTCCTGTTTGTCAGAAGCTGCATTAACTTTGATTGGAAAGCACCGAGGCACGACGAACATCGGGCACGTCGTCTAGTGGATGTTGAGACGTCTGCCACAGAGCAGAATGAGCTGAGACATGATGATCCTCCGATCAAGACCGAGGCCAACTACGTCCCCCAGCTAGAGGATGAGGAGCGTCGTATCGAGATCGAGGCCTACAAGAGATCTCATTGGCTCCACTATCCACGTAAGAACTCCACATTGATCCCCCAAAGCTGTGCTAACTCTGATTGGAAAGCACCGTGGTACGACGAACCTTGGGCGCGTCAATTAAGGGGTGTTGAGACGTCCGTTCCAGAACAGAAAAAGTCTGTCCATAATGATCCTCAGACTAAGGCTGAAGCCAATTACGTCCCGCGACTCAGAGAGGAGAGCCGACGGATTAAGACAGAAGCCGAGTCCTCCTTTCTAGACCAAACCTACCGCTATGACGCCGCCACAGCCCGCGACAAAGCATTACAGCCCTACCGCTTCTCCGAAGCCTGGGCCGGATCAGCATTAAGGGGAGGAGAGCCTATGTTAGACCCAGGATGCTGCCAAAGATCCGAGGCCTCTTGCACTAGTACTGAGGTCAACAGCTCAGAAGTTGAGTCCCTGGACGGATACGACACCGCCACAATCCACAATGAGGAGTTGCAATCTTCTCGCTTCTCCGAGTACTTGGACGAATCAGTGTCCGGAGAAAGAGAGCTTATGTTGAACCAAGAATTGCCTGTGTCACAGCCCTATATCAAAAAAGATAGGCCAGCCCGACAGTCTGCTCGCCTTTCCACTCGACGGTCTACTCGACAGTCTACTCGACAGTCTACTCGACAGTCTACTCAACAGTCTGCCCAACGATCAGCCCGACGTACAAAACGCAAGACCAAGCGGCCAGCGTCTTACCGCATCAGAAAATACTACGGAACTCAGCAGACCGCATGGATTGATTGAGCTTGTTTCTGGTTTACAGCACTCTGTTCTAGGTCTTTGCTGGCATGGCGACCTCCATAGAAGGAGGCTTATCTGTTGATGGCTTTCGCCCAATCTTCTCTCTTTCTAGCTTGAATGTAATCGTGATATTGGCGTGCTCCATCTCATGGTAGACACTAGGAGTTTGCAGACTGCAAGTGCTCTGGGCCACTCTCAAAAAAAAAGCTCCAAGCCCTACTGAGCCTTGGCGAGAGCCAATCACTATCTGCTGCGACTGGCTTATGAGCCTTGACTTAGCCGTGGCTTGCGGGCCTCAGGGCTATTATACTCGACCCGACTATTATGGGGAAGCCAAGTTCGTCCGCAATTGAGAAATGCTGGACACAAGTATGATAATCGTACCGTCCTGCGTGAAGAATCCCATTCAATCGTGAATCCGCTGCTATGAGGCGTAAAAGTGGGAGATCAAACACCGTTCACGTGATCATCGCCAAGTGAGCTGTTCTTGGCCTACCCCTGGTTCGCCATCGCCTGGTTGGACGGGGGGTCCAGCAGCTTATGTCAGCGCCACCTCCCTGCGCCCGCGCACGTCACGCCCCAAGCTGTGCCCGCCCAAAAATCATTATTTCAGAGATGTCATCTTCAGCCCTACCAGGTTGACTGGAACCTTGGGCCTAGGGACACGATTTTGTTTGCTCTTAGGAGATAATACCTGGCCCAAGGGGACTTGTAGCTCCCAGCAATAACAAGCCTAGTCTCATTCCTGGATCAACAGAGCTGATTTTGACCTCTAGTCACTTTTGATCGAAACATCGCAGACCCCGAAATGGCTACAAGTGGGGATGATGGCAACAAAGCGATGAAGAAGCGATCGCCAACTCGAAGTGTCTACATTATTTACAGCGGACGTTCATAATTAGTGACGCACGGGACAGTCTACGGACCCTTGACAATATTGAAACGCTGCTCACCGCTTACACCGGCTTCTATATAGGGGTTTGCACCTGGCATTTTGTTTACTCAACTCATTCAACTTCAAGATCAACAACTGACATGACATTGATAAACTTGCCTCAGCCTCACCTCAATGAATCGATACGGGAAGTCAATAAAAGCTCCTGGCTAATCTCAAACAAGCTTCTTCTTACTCGTTCGGCGTCACCACTCCCGGACAGAATTCCAGCCGACCAAGCATGCTGGAGCGACAGCAATGAGGGCCATTTCATCCTCTCCACTGCGCCTGAGCCTCTTCCCGATTCCAAACCCCTCGCAGAAGATTCACTTTACATTTCGAGAGTCCACGCAGTTGACAATCAAGCGGCCGTTTGGCGAGCAGGCGAAGCCTTCATCAAGGCGCATCAGATAGACTATCCGCATGTGACTAGAGAGCATATTACCTTGCAGTTTCTCAAAGACAGGCGGCCCCTGGGCTTTGGGTTTCCGGAAGTTTATCATCATTTTGAGACTTCCTCGCGAAATTTTCTCGTCGTCTCGAGAGTTCCCGGCCAGCTGCTTGAGGAAGCTTGGCCTAACATGGACGAAACTCTTCGCCAGTATTATGTCGGCAAAGTAGCAGATGTTTGCGATCAGTTAGCGGCATGGAAGGGCGATATCATTAGTGGTGTGGACGGACACCAGCTATTTGAGCGTTATCTCGTCAAAGGCAACAGCAAGATGACGGATGCCCTTTCTCCACAGCAGCTTCTGAAGAATTGTACCGAGATGTCTATGAACGTCTCTGACCTTGTCTTCTATCATTGCGATCTTGGTCCTACGAATCTTCTTGTCGATACATCAACAGGCTCGCTAGGTATTATCGATTGGGAGCTTGCTGGCTACGTTCCTATTGAATGGATTAGGACAAAATTTCGACTCTCGGCAGGAATGGATTTCAACTACGGGGATGAGGACTCCAAGAAGGACTGGCGCCGCAGGGTTGCTCAGCACCTGGAGAAGATGGGCTACGGCGATGCCGTGGATGCATGGTGGAAGTTTCAGGATAGCTAGTAGGAGATTTTGTTGGATTTGGACTCTTAAACCCTTTTCTAAAGTTACACTACGAAATAATTGGTATTGCCCCTGGCTTTTTCTACGTCTCTTCAAGTCCTTACATTCCCTAAATAAGAGGTAAAAACCCAGGCAAAGAGAGATAAAGTTGTCGTGAAGTGACGTGAAATATAATATGCTTTCCATTGGCATTCATGAGAGCGATAAACTGATGCAGGCAGTCCTTCAGGACAATACCCGAGGATTCCGTATTTGAACCAGCTTATATCTAATCAAGGAAAGAGCAACAGCCAGGGCAGCACTAAACCATCAGGAGTCGTCTTTAGACGACTATCAAGGAAGGGCAGAGCTTAAAGAAGCTTAGTACACGGGTCCTGGTGTTTCCAGAGAAAACATACATTCGTCATTTCACGCTGTCGTTGCGACGGGCTTCCCACAGTTTGTGCAGGTCGATGTACCAGTCATGTTATGCGTACCACAGTGGCCGCAGTTGAGCTGATTGATCGGTTCGCTGGGGATAAAGGTCGTCATTTCGTCGACAGTGAAGCTATTCATCATTAGACATAGATGCTTGGGGGTAAGGGAGACCTCTTACTCAACAAGTACTCACCGTAAAAAGAAAACTCGAAGCTATAACTTAGGAGGCGACAAATACAAGCAGATCGGTCACTAAAGCACTAGTTGAGACGTATAAGGGGACATGTAGGCTTCTTAAGCAAATCCCGCCCCTCTCTAAGATTATTCCCCGAACGATGTAGGGGAAAAAACGCCTTTGGCCTGGACTTTGGCCAGAAACTTGAACCACGCGGGGAATAATGTCCAGAAGACAGGAAATTCCATGACCAGAGGCGCGTCCATTGCGGTACCATACCCGGAGTCGCCGACCATTGGCTGCAGGTAGTGAATTCCATTGCATTAGCTGGAGCCGCCTCAAAGTGAAAAAGTACGAGCGGCCCTATGGCTGGCGCTCCTGATTTGTTCATAATGCAAGGGTAGGCCAAAATGGCAGGACAGTGCGGACTCACGAAGCCGCGAGCTACCGCGCACGCCACTGATGGCCTGCCACCTCAGTTTGAAGTACTCTTAAAACCTGCGTATAAGTAAGAGAGTTACGGGATAGAATCACGTAAGGTCGCAACAAGTTTTTAGTTTGGCTTTCAACTGGCATTAGCGCGAGGCCGTGTCGTTTCATCCTGGCCGTTATCGATGGCTCTTGATTTGTTCGCACTGCAAGACCGTGGACCAATGTGACAGGCTAACTGGCCCTCAAGGCCGAGTGTAACAGAGATAAACCCCATGATCTACACCTACCTCTGCCCTTTTATAAGTCATCGGTTTTTCTGACTAACAAAGAACTATTGCGCACAAGAATTTCAATTACTTCTACAAATCTCATGACCTGAAGCATTCCCGGGTCCCCCTAATGTCAGACTAGTGGGCAGAACATTATAAGTAAACCAGCGAGAAAGACTATGTAAAGACAAACTGATTGAACCGGAATGGCAGCAATTGATTCTTCCCAAGTGATCCTTTCAACGTTGGCATCATTATGTGCTACTATATCTCTTTTGCTCTGGCTTGTGTTGATATCAGACAAGAAATTATCCCGGCTTCTCTTACTCCATCAAAACCCCTACGTTTTCTCACAGGCCGTGGTGGGAATTTTGGTCTGTGCTGGCCTGTTCGGGTCAATACCATTGGCTATCTATCAGCCGGCTCTCCGAAGCGGTGAGTATCTTCAAGAACTTCCAACTCATCAGCTGACGAGTGGTACATGCAGATTCTTCGAGGCCTGCTCTGACAGTCGAACTGGGATTTTTACTTCTTCTTACACCGATTAACGAGGTAAATATACCCAACTTCGACGTGGTTTTCACTGACATCCACAAGTTTCTGGGCCTCATTAATCAAAAGTCCTGGTCAATCTATATTTTTATCATCTTTCCTATTGCCCAATTATCTCTGCTGATAACGTAAGTTTTGTTCTCAGCTTCGGTTGGCCTAATCTTGACTCAGTCGAACAGTTTCTTTCTCGACCACATACAGAGTAGAATACGCCACGTCTTGTTCGCATCACTCCTTCTGCTTACGACAGCTGAGATTACTTTTCTCGTGATCCAGTACATTCGACTTTGGCGAATTTGCAGTCGGTCAAGCAGTTCATATTCGACACCTCAATTCTTGGAATTCTTCCGGAATCGTCCATCCAATCATCAACGGGCTCTGAAGGCGGCAGCTCTGATGGCCGTGACCTTCTCTTTGCTTTCAGGAGTTATTACAGTCAGTGCATATCTTGAAGAATTTGGGCAATCACAACTAGCAACTGTGAGGACGACCTCTTCGACGATCCGGAGTCGAAACTGACGTGTAGAAGACCGAAATAACGATGCTAAGTTCGATGAGATTGATCATTCCATTTTTCCTCACGAAGAAAATCTGACATCTTTTGCATTGCACCTTGGGCTGAGTTCGTTCACAAGACTTCCACTCTCCGTATTCTGTGTTGATTGACTGACCTCCGGTGTCTACCCAATTAGGCCGCAACTGTCACGTGCTAACCATCCCCCCTCTATCCGGAAATTTGATTTAAGCGGGGCTTTTGCTCGAGTTACTATTCCCGCAATATTTCATCGAACCTCGCCTCGAGAACTCATTCTACGAACTCGGATATTCTACCGTCTTGGTTTCCCGCAAGGTTACGTCAAACGGTGCCTCGCGAAGTCATCCTATGAACTCGACTATCCTGCCGTCCTGTCTACATCGAACTTTAAACACAGAAAGCAAGCTATCTGAAATGGCCGAAGAAGAGCTTGGGATCGCAGCGGTGGAAGATCACACATACGAAATCAAAGGGGGTGCTCTTTTCCGGGAGGCGGACTACGAGAGAACAATCACAGGAAAAGGGGAATCGATAATAGTGTTTGATCCGAAAGCGGATCCTCGATCTCCTGCCATTTGGGAAAACGGACAAGACCCTTCAGTGGAGGAAACTGCGATTGTGCCTGTTGGATGCCAAGTGAGCGTGATTGCAGCTCCTGTGATCGGAGCAACTGTGACTTTCAAACGCGGATAATTTCAACTTCTGCTTCGTATATCAAATCCAAGCCAGCACGACGACCAACCACTAGGGTGATCGATATATCTTGACTCCGATCTTTCGGGACGAAAAAGTTTAGGCAGTCTGTTGTATCGGCATCACTACTCCCCAGCCTCTCAGCGAAAATTCGTCTTTCCCACTTCCATTGCTCGCTACTCTCTATTGCCCACGGAAGACGTTTGATCAGATTTGGCAGTTTGCCGGACGGCATGGATGACATTTTGTAGTCGATCTCTATCATCATTTAAGCATCATTCTCCTGGGCATGACATGGCGTTGTTTACTTACCTTTGCTCCTTCGTTCTATCATCTGTTTATCATCAGTTTCTGTGGCATTTCGTTTTCCTTCCGTCGGTGAACTTTGGTCCGTACGCATACGTTTGCATCGCGCCATATGCTCTTGCTCTTCCACACTGATTGATCGATCTAAATTCTTGACAAATTCTTGAAACTTTTCGCAAGCTTTCAAGGGTTCCTCGTCCTTCAAGCAATGTAGGCTTTCAGTGACCCTAGAAGGTATTTGATCAAAGATTGCCTTCAAATCTCCAAGGAGAAAATCAAAGGTGCTATCTGCCATGACTGTTGGGTGTATCCACTTCGATGGCTGTAGTGTCATTGCCCACTTCAGAATCAAATGAGGAGACTGGGAGCGAAGTCTTTCACATCGCGTTCGAGATTTGGCTTTCCTGATTCTGCTTTGGTCGGTATCCAAAGCAGATTGGTCCGGTCCTCGAAAGATAAGCACTAAATTCTTCCTCAATAATACTGGATCGAATTTGTCGGCGACTGGGAAAAATCGGATCTGATTTGCAATGTTTCGCTCTTTATCTTTCGGAGTTGCTTTCTCCAATAAAAGTTCCACATGAGACTCGATACCTGCCAAAGCTGGTTTAAGTCGCTCCCTGAGTTTCTGAATCTCGTCGAATTGTTCACGGTTTGGACGGATGTTAGAACTCAACTTGGGACCCAAAGATTCCATGTGGTTGAGTAAATTCGCAAATTGTGAGAGAACTGCGCCCGCCGACATAATGGCTTAGCTTCATAGAAATCCGAGGAATGTCTGACATTTAATGAATTAGGCAGAAGATGAACTTGGCTTTAATGGGCTCAAGTACTGCGTCACATGAATCCCCCCCGCTTTCATGTGTGACGTGGCCAGCGTTAGCGTAAACCCTCTGTGGCCCCTTAAAATAATCTGAAGGTCTCGATAATTATCGACTTATCAATTTTCATGTTCGCAGGCCCAAATTCCATGCAACATAAAATTATCAGCGAGGTTTATGGGAAAGAACCTATGTTAGTCTATGTACTTTGGGTGATTTTTCTTACGTTCGAGAAAAGCCCCCCATAAGACTATGCACTATCTGCGCATTTTCCCGTCCCTTTGCATAGGAATAGAACTAAAATATGATTCTTGATTGAACGTAACCAATCAAACTAATGTTTCTGCTGTTGCTCGCAGAAGAGCGCTGCATGAAGGTAGCTCGGCTGTGACCTGACTTTAGTCGACGGCGATGATCAGGCAGGCCACGAGGGTTGATTGCTTCCCCTATAATTAGAGCCTGGTATACCACTTTCCTCGGACACTTCGATGAAACAGATCAAGCTGCCTCATATCATTATATTCGGGGACCTTTGTCAGTATCTACAATGAACTCCATCGGCGCTGGTACTTACCACCACCCCTCCCATATGTCTCTTATAGATGTCGTCTTTCCCGGTTTCAGTATGGCCTCTGCCTCCGCACAGCAGCTGCTTGCCGGTAACCTGGACAGCTACACCCGACTTCTTTGTACTTTCGGTATATTTGTCCTCTTTGCCCGCTATGCAGTCCGCTATGTTTGGGAGATAGTGAGACTTTACTTCAGTTCGTGTGCCTCCTGTCAAAATGGGATCAGTCTGACAATTTTTAGCTTCCACAATTTATGTCTCATACTACGACGAAGCATACGATATGCTGGTTGATTGGATAGCCGAGCAACCGTTTGTCCACAATGCCCATTCACTGATTGCTCGTGTGAGGTCCACACATCGCACAGGCAACCTCTATTCAACAAAGAAAAAGCCTTTGACTTTTTCTCCTTGGGATGGATCATTCTTTTTCTGGTACAAGGGACATCTGCTCATTCTTCACTGCGATGTCAAAGAGCATCGAGAAGATCTCAGAGTCTCTTCTATTGGTCTCAATGCCAGCGTCCTGAAAACATTGATCGAAGAGTGTAGAGAAAAGTATATCAAGGACACGCAGAGAAAGGTCTCCGTCTTCGAGCACCGCGAAGGGGAGTGGAAGAAAGCCAGATTGAGATCAGTTCGCCCTATCTCCACGGTCATCATGGACCAGGGGGTAAAAGACGACATATTAAGAGATGTGGAGGAGTTTCTCGACCAAGATATGCAAAGCTGGTACGCAGAGCGGGGTATCCCCTACAAACGAGGCTACCTTCTCTTTGGCCCCCCTGGAACTGGGAAATCCAGTTTCAGTTTATCACTTGCAGGGAATCACGAACTGGATATTTATACACTTCAATTGTCGAATATTTCAGACACCACTTTGATGAGGTTGTTTGCTGAGCTTCCCCCGCGTTGTATTGTTCTGTTAGAGGACGTGGATACTGCAGGGGTGGGACGCCGGGATAGCATCGATGCAGACCAAGCAAACGAGTCAAAGTCAGCAGTCACCTTATCCGGACTCCTGAATGTGCTGGATGGTGTCTCGTCTCAAGAGGGCCGGATACTCGTCATGACCACGAATCATATCGAACAGCTGGACGACGCTCTGATTCGGCCTGGCCGTTCAGACAAGAAAGTTCATTTCAAACTTGCCGATCAGAACATTTCGACTCAGCTCTTCCACACGGTTTTCAAGCAGTTGCCCAACCAAAAGCAATGCAACCAGAAATATAACGACGAGACCATCGAGGGGCTTGCACGTGATTTTGCAAGCAAAATTCCCGAGGAAGTATTCAGCCCGGCAGAAGTTTTGTCATTTCTTTTAGAGCGCAAGAAGTCGCCCTATGATGCTGTTTCTAGTGTGGAGAGCTGGGTGGCGAAAGCAAAGTGCTGAAGAGAGGGGAGGGAGAAACAGGAGCAAGGGACAACTGGTAGGTTCCCAGGAAGGGGTCGGTTTGGGGTTTAGGGGGGCAGTTCCGAGGGATGTATATTTGACAGCGTCAATTAATTAGTATACAGGAGCTCTCATTACATATCTTGAGGATACACGCAGACTTAAATCTTCACAAATTCTTTCATGGCCAGCAAGAGAACGTACCATCGCTCATCTGCAAAGCATTTCGTGTTCACGCATGTAGGCAATCCCATCGGTGTCCAAATTCGGAGTATACATTTTCTCCGCTATCAAACGGTGCGAACATGTTCAGAATAGGCGCAGGAACAGGGGCTGGAGGCGTTATGTGCAGACAGCGGTGGATCTGGACGGCACTCTATGCCCGGATTTTACCGCTTTTGCGAGATGACTACGCTGCACATTTCCAGACGTTGGTTCAAGGGCCCAAGGGCGCTTCAGCCGCTTCACATCCTCCAAGTCAATGACGACCAGTCTGCCACTCGCTTCATCCCATAGCATATTACGCCACTCACTGTCGCCGTGGATGACTCCGTGCGACCGGAGCACGGCCAGTGCTTTCTCGCGCTCTTCGTGGAAGAAGCTAGAATTCCCATCATTAATGACATGCTGAAGCCGAGTTCCGGACCAGCTCAACACCATCATCTGGGCCATTGGCTCCCCATGGTACCAATATGCGACGCGAGGCTTGAAGGCCCCAAGACAGACAGGGATGTGCTGTCCCTGCAAGCTCTTAAGGTGACGATAATTATCCACTTCCGCTTGGAGGCGGCGCTGCTTCTCCACAGTAGTGGCTTTAATGATCACAGTATACCCGCTTGAAAGGAGTGTGGCTTTTATGAGATAGCCTGTTCGACCACAGATGTGCAATTGTTCGAAGCCCAGGTCTCGATTTCGGATAAGTTGACGGTGAAGCTGGTGTGTAAACTCTTGCGGCCCTATAGAGTGTCTCTGGCCACCGTGGAGTTCCCAATTGGGGCACTTTTTGTCCAGAGGTTCACGGTTGGCCATGCCACGGACGCAGGCAATGGTGCAGTATGGTCGTGTAGAATACCCGTCTTTTCGAAAAGTCTGTTTTTTATCCCGGCCGGCTTGTGACCTTTCACTTCTCTTACTTGATTGATGGTTGTTAGCCCGGCTGCGGCTCCCTCGGCTGCGATTCCCTCGGCTGCGGCTCGATCGGCTACGTGACGCTGCTGCAGCGGATGGCGATTGCGATTCTTGATCGCTGCCGCTGCCTTCAGGCGACGAGTGCCGTGGTGTAGATGCGTCTGGCTCACAGCGAGCGCGAGAGCGCGTGTTGTGGACTTTCCGATCTCGTTTCCAATGCGAGGGCCGATAGTTAGAGGACCTCGGATCTTTACGGAGAGTTTCGGGAATTTCCTTCAACACGTCGAGATATTCGACCTCCCAGGTCCTCAGAGTGTCGTGCGCCACGTCGTGCCACTCTTGAGGGGGGACACCTGCGGCCAGAGCTTGAAGGGTGAACGCAAGCACCTGGCCGATGGCGGTCCGATGGAGGCGCAATTCATCGCCCGGCTGCACGTCTTGGTTTGGAATACACAAGAAATATTGGACAATCGTGGGGTCATCTTCCGGGATATGTAGGAAAACAAAGCCCTCTCCTGTGCAGATGTAGCCGTATCGAACTCCACTGTCTATCATGTATGAGAATATTTGAGTGACCACGGCAGCGACAAGGCGGGTGGCATAAAAATCGAATGTATCACCTTCTTGCTCAATGACATCGCGAGCCAGATCCATCCGGTGTAGACCTGCCACCAATTCGGGGATTGTCACCTTGTGCGGCGCTTTGAACTCTACCGCATACACTGGTATTTGTCGTTCATCAGCCACAAGGCGCACGCAGAACTGGTCAGCGCGCCGATTGCGTCTTCGCACGGTGCCATCCCTCCTCTGTCTCTGCGTCGCTCCACTCCCCTTCCTCTGCGTCTTCCGTGCTTAGTGATCGCCGGTCGTTGGGGTGTGCGCGTATCCTGAAAATTCATCTGCTCCAGGCTGTTCTCCAGCGAGGTCTCCGATGGGTTGGCACGATCATAGAAGGTGACTCGGCCCTGGATTCCAAACTCACGGCGAAGGGTTTCATCGTCTCGCAAAGCGTTAACGACCTTTTCGACAAAGTTATCCACTGTGTCTCGCTCGAAATTTCGAAGAGAAGCCTCCGAATAGATCGGTGTGTTCAGGATATTCGTAGCAACATAATCGATTTGGGTATCAGAAGGAAACAGAGCGCGCGAGGTAAAGGCAGCGGTGCGATCGAATTTCTCCCAGATTTGTTCCTGTAGTTGGGGAAAGTCAAGCCATGGGATGATGTGCTTGGGGTAAAGTCGGTTTACTGGGTTGGCCGCTTCGCCCTGGGTCGTGAGGGTCGCATTCATCTCAACTTGGATTGCTTGGGACAGAGAATTGTGGCATCGATCAAGGAGGCCAAACAGAGTGTTGGGTTGCACTTGCCGTTCTGCCTCTTCCCGTGCTTGTCTCTCCTCCTTCTCACGGCGCTCTGCGTCTTCTCGCCCTCGCTTTTCCTCCTCAAGCTGACGCCGTAATTCAGCTATCTTATCCATACTCATGAGAACTGGTATCTTCTACATAGTCGATGACAAAGCAGAAGTCAACTTGGTGATGGTTACTTGTGTGCACGGAACAACAACAAAAGGGAAGATGCCCACATGCTTACGGCTTACTCATCCAGAAATTGTTGCCTCAGGCATAAAATCGAAACTCCTCGTCCACGCCAGCCCAAAGAGCCAAGTATTAATGTACTGAATAGCCATTATCGAGTAGAATGGTGCTGCGCTCCGTTCAATCACTCTTGTGAGGATTGAGAGCAACTTTAGGGCAGGCTTTGTGCTAGGAGGTGGTTTGGTCTTTCCTGAGGGCGTTTGTCCCTGGCCGAGTTGTTGATTCCTGAGAGCCATTGGTGATACTTGTGAAGGTCCGAAGCTATCAGCGGGCGCGTGGTCTGGAGCTTGTCACCGAAAATCGCATCCTGGTCTTATCTGCCCCTTACATTTAGTTTCTACACACAGAGCTACTGTATCGCGCGGCTAATAGAGGTGCCCGCGAGCAAAGGAGTGCCCGCCGGCAAGTGTGCCTGCAGTTGGGCGCTGCTTGGGTATAACAATGCGGAGCAGCCAGTGAGCTGCTGCCTGATCCCTTTGGTGGACTCCTTTCTCCACATTGGAGTGGGATCTGGCACCCGATCACCCGCACCCCTTTGATGACGTCGCCTAGCCTTCTGATCGAGAAGCGTGGACGGTTCAAGCTGGACCTTTCGGAAACCCTTTGTTCGGACTATTCATTCTCTGAATAGGTCCAAAAAAAAAGATTCTCTTAGAAGGCGTCTCCTTGTACGGACCAGCTGAAGCCGAAGTTGCGCTCATTCGTGCCTTAATGCCTCAGACAAGAAAGACGACTTTGCGTCCTGCCGACCACCTGCAGCTCTGGCATCTTGCATATCAATACAGCCAACATTATCTAATTCAACAAACATTTAGCCAGCATAATTCTCTCATGATCTCTAAACGGGAAAGAGCAAGCAAGGGTTCTTGCTGTACAAGAAAAATTACTCCTTTCCTGAAGGATTACTTTGAAAAAAGAACGTTAAAAAGAACTCGATATCTCAACATTCTCTTTAGTCGCCTGAAAGAAGAGGCCCCTTTTGAGTGTTTTCGAAGTGTTGACCTGTGAGTATCTCTGGCGGCGGGTAATGGGTTTCCTTGTCCGTTTCAGCTTGCTTCAATCATGCGGCATGCTAGACCTACTAATTGCTGGGCAAGGAAGGCCCAAAACCCTGATGTATCGGCTGACAGGATATGTACTCGGCCATTTTTCCGAAGACGTATACCCAAGCATATGTCTGCGTTGCATATCTTGCTATATTCCCAAGCTTTTTTCATGAGATTTTTCTTACGGCGACATTGCTTTTGATGCATCGATTTGTTCTTTTTGTTTTTCTTGATAGGAAGTTTAGAACAAGCCACATCGTTTGTCATGCCGTAGGTTTTCATAATCGCAGTAACTGAGAATGTGCTACGATTCTCAGGATCAGTTGGATGGTCTTATATCATGATTCGAACGCAGTGTGCAAAAGCGCAATTACGCACTTCCATACCGTGGACGTCGAGTATGCACAAAAGACCAGAGTGCCAATTTCGGCGCCAACGCTGAAGCGACCTATTCTAGAACCGGGTGGGGACACCTGTATCCCTTGTGGGCGGTTGCTGGCCGACTGAATATTCATTGGCTGTAAGATATCGGGTAGAATCCTCGTCGGTATCGTAATATTGTCGGATTATAATATCACCGCCTTATTAACATTATGCTCACCGGAATGTTATCGGATCATAATATTACCGCCCTACCAACATTATGCTCACCGTAATATTATCGGATCATAATATTACCGTCCTACCAACATTATGCTCACCGTAATATTATCGGATCATAATATTACCGTCCTACTAACATTATGCCCCAAGTAATATTATCGATTCATAAAATTACCGCCCTACCAACATTATGCTCACCGTAATATTATCGGATCATAATATTACCGCCTCATGAATATTACCATCAAATTCCTGTTGACTGCTTACGTTGCGTCCTCAGTTTAATTAGTCCTCAGAAACACCACCACATCTGTCTGAGCGTAAGGTTACTACTCTCGCTGAAATGTGCTTCTAGAGTCGCAGGGTGTTCTCTTTCTGACGGGTGCCAGCGGGTAGGTTAGTGCCACGGGCTGGTCAAGACTAGCAGGCATTCCTAAGGGTGCCCGCTGTCCGAAACAAGTTGCGCGGACGCCTCCAGCTTTACTTGACTTAGGCTTTCCGGTACGGACCACGGAATCCTATCGTACCGCCTTGTCACGCTTCTCTGGTACCAGGAATCTTTAAAAATAGTTCTAGAACAATTGATTCGACGGTTCAAGATACAGGGGCGACCAGCGCGTAGACATGTTTTATTATTGGCGGCCGTATCGCTAGGTTTCGACCTCCACAGGACTGTAGCGCCACTGACCGCCGTGGAGCCACATTTCTCAGCCACTCACATTCTGCGCATCTCTAGTCTCAACACGAAACGCCCATGTTTCCCATGTCCTCTACTCGTCCCCTCTCTAGCCCTAGGACAGCCCGCAGTTTCTAACCGCTCCCGCTGGTCCCAGGACACGTCTGTTCCTAAGACGGCCCTGGTCGTAGGACAGCCCACGGTTTCTAACCGCCCCTGCTGGTCCCAGGACACGTCTGATCCTAAGACGGCCCTGGTCGTAGGACAGCCCACGGTTTCTAACCGCCCCTGCTGGTCCCAGGACACGTCTGATCCTAAGACGGCCCTGGTCGTAGGACAGCCCACGGTTTCTAACCGCCCCTGCTGGTCCCAGGACACGTCTGATCCTAAGACGGCCCTGATCGTAGGACAGCCCACGGTTTTCTAACCGCTCTCGTTGGCCCCAGGACAAGTCTGGTCCTAGGACAGCCCGCGATTCCTAATCAGTTATGACGTCAGCGCTGGTCCTAGGACATAACTGGTCCCAGGACAATCCGCAGCTCGCACTGACGGCCGCGCCGTAGGAATATCTATGAGGATTGTAGATGCTCTGAGCACCATGAGCTCTATAGCAGCTAACCGATCCTTCACTCGTTATCTTGCATCGGCCATTTGGTATAGATCTCCTAGTGCTCGGGGCATCTACCTTGTCTACGGGCCTAACATGATGACAGTGGTGACCGAAACGCGCGATATATGGAGCGCTGTCATCGCTGGGTGGGTTGGTAGCGGACTTATGAGCTACCTCATACAGAGGCTTGGACGAATATAGACCGATCCTACACAGCCCGGTCTTAATGCTAGAGTACCAGGAGCTGCACATTCTACAACGGCAACGCAACGTCCAGAAGTCCAGAGAGATTATCCTTGCCAGCTTATTCCAGAACGTAGCCAATTTATTACTACAGCTTGTAAAAACCACTCAAAGGACAGTTTCAACTAACGAGAGGAAGCGACACGAGTCTGCTTTTATGTTAAAAGTTAGATTGACCCGGGTACCTGAAGCGTTTCGTTCATCTTGAAGGACATCGTCTCCGACTGAATCTCCGACCCACCCTTAGTCCAACAAAGACATCCACATCTTCAACGTCTACAATCGAACACGTGGGTAGTCGATCCCATTTTCCAATATCGCATCGTTATTGTAACGCCGCGTTCTCGTTCTAACGCCGTGCAGTTCAACAGTAAGAATGGGAAGACGTAATCTCGGAGGGAAGGGGAGGGAGGGAAGAGGTGGGAGGAGACTGGAAGAGGTGGGAGGAGACTGGAAGAGGTGGGGAGGAGACTGGAGGAGGTGGGAGGAGACTGGAAGAGGTGGGAGGAGACTGGAAGAGGTGGGAGACTGGAAGAGGTGGGAGACTGGAAGAGGTGGGAGGCTGGAGAGGAAAGAAGTATGTGCTTTCATTGGGTACTCATTTCCCCACATTGGAGTGAGTTAGGTCGGACGCCGCTAGTACTTCCCACTGGCCTACTGGAGCCCCGCTGGCCGGAGAGAGGTAGGGCATTATTTATTGGCCATCTCGTGTGCACTGGGCAGTGCATCTCTTCAACGCATAGACTTTCAACGTCCTCGCCACAGTTCAGTTTGCGCAGATTCATCGGCAAACCAAGAACTTTAGGACCGCTGATGGCAACGTAGTACGCCGCTGCCATAAATGAGGGGAAGCGAGACCATTTCTCCACTCTTCGCTAGGGTGAGTATCCTGAGTGTTTTTGCCAATCTACACCGCTTTACCTGGCTTCTGCCTGCCTAGGCGGTTGTAAAAAAAAAGTGATGCTGGATAAGGGGGGTGTTGGGGGTATTAGGAAATGCACGGACCGCCAGAGGAAGGTGGCCTTTCGTTCAACTCTAATCTGCCCGCATTTGATTTTTTGGGTCGTTCACCAGGTTGCGCCCGTAGTTGAACAGCTGGCAACCCGCAGTATTCTGGTGTTTCAACGCATATCTCGCTGCCATCTTCATACTGTAGTAATTACATCGGATTGGTCATTAATTTGAGCAAGGAGCTTAAGCCTCACTTTAAAACTGTCCACAAATACATTCTACTCACGGAGCTTTCGCAATGAATCGTGCCCTCAACTTACGTGCATCGTTCAAATAATGATGGCCTAAAATGGAAGAAAACACTAAGAAGCACAGCGTAAGAATGGTGCTGCGACGCTTTTCTGAGGGCGAACATTGCCCATAGTATTGTTTGTCGAGCACCAGGCCCATGGCTTTCCTTGGCTTTCGATCACGGGTGGTTACCAGGGGCCAATCTGACACGAGCCCCGCACGAATCAGTGTGGCACCATTCTGCCGGCTGGCATCAGTCTACCGCCTGGCACCATTCTACGCGGTGGCACCGTTCTGCCGGCTGGCACCATTCTGCGCGGTGGCACCGGTCTGCCGGCTGGCATCAGTCTACCGCCTGGCACCATTCTACGCGGTGGCACCGTTCTGCCGGCTGGCACCATTCTGCGCGGTGGCACCGGTCTGCCGGCTGGCATCAGTCTACCGCCTGGCACCATTCTACGCGGTGGCACCGTTCTGCCGGCTGGCACCATTCTGCGCGGTGGCACCGGTCTGCCGGCTGGCATCAGTCTACCGCCTGGCACCATTCTACGCGGTGGCACCGGTCTGCCGGCTGGCATCAGTCTACCGCCTGGCACCATTCTACGCGGTGGCACCGGTCTGCCGGCTGGCATCAGTCTACCGCCTGGCACCATTCTACGCGGTGGCACCGGTCTGCCGGCTGGCATCAGTCTACCGCCTGGCACCATTCTGCCGGCTGGCACCGGTCTGCCCACTGGTCCATCCAGACCCCCAAGTCTCTTCAAACCAGCTCGACTGACATGCGTCTAAGGTGGGGACTAAGGTCGGGAGACGTGTCTTCGGCCTCAGGCATCCAGCCTTAGGGCCGGGCCAGGTCCTTCTGGCTGTGGACTACGTCTTTGCAGCCATCACTGCCTCAAATCTCTAGCTTTACTGTATTCCCGCGGCTTTCCCACATCCTTTATTTTCTGTCTCTATATTCGCTAGTAACTACCGCCAGCGTTCCACCTCTCGCTCCCGGTCGTTATCATCCTAGAAAAATCCGTATGACAATATCAATAGTATTCACTGTAAATTAGATTATCGCCCAGCCTCATAAAGACACTATTTGTGCCATCTTCGACCGTCACAGTGAAGCACAAGATCATCCAAATCATCCAATAGCAGCATTTGAATTCAGGGCTATGGTGAGCTTTAACCCTCTGAATCTACAGAATAAAGGGCCGGGAAAGTTTGGCGGCAATACCATTTACTCCCTTCCGCCTGGAGGTGTGAAAATCCGTGCTGGAAACCTTGGGGGGTTGCGAGGTATTAGGAAACGCACGGGCCGCTAGAGGAAGGCGACCATCCGCCCAATTCTATATTTGGCCCTGTGTTCTAATTTGAGCACACGTTGATCAAGCTAGACGCTACAAGCAGAGTGTTCGTCTTGGTTGAACATAATTGGTCCTACATCTGAGCGAGCTTCCAAACTCCTGTTTGTCCAAGTCTGTCGATTCCACTTTTGACCGTATGCACAAATACGTCCAAATGAGAACCAATAAGCTTGCCCTTTGGAGTCGGTCACGCTAATAATCTAACGTAACTCGCATCAGCATCAAACAAACCCGGAACAATCATGCTGGGATTAAACATTCTGAGCACTTAAAAGTGGGGAATGGAATAGCGGCTGGCCAATTATTAGCTACATAACTCATTATGTAGCCAGCCATGATTGCATACTGGGTCTTGTCCTCCTTAGCTACGTGATGATAATGCTGACCCCGCCTTTCGGAAGCACCTTGGGCTTCAGAGATTTGGTAGGTTTATGAATGGCTGGATGTCGATATTAACACGGAATCAATTCTGGCTCCTTCGGCAGCCCCCCTTGACTTCAATGTACAGCAAGGTATCGAAGTCAAACTCCACATATCGTCTTCACCAGATGGGCACCACAGGCCGGTCTTTTCGGGCCATTAAGCCTCGAAATAACCCTGGCGAGGGGAGCAGCGGCCAGCTACCTGGGGAGGAGCAGTGGTCGAGGACCTCCTCCAGCCGATGGTCGAGTGAGAAGGGCTTCAACTGCCTGTCAAGAGTGTCAAAAAAGACGAACAAAGGTAGAGATCCTGAAGAACCCACCCCTCTTCCAGTGGTACCCCCTCGTTTAGACCTTTCCATCAACTTCTCTCTGACCTTCCTTTTGGCCCAAGTTAGTGCAGTGGGCAGCCGTGCTCTGAATGTCAAACCCATATCCGAGAATGCGTATTCGATAAACTCTCCGATCGACGTCGGAAGGCCACCGCGAAGAAGACCCAAGAAGAGCTTACCAGTCTCCAAGAGTTTGTGCGTGAGCTGCTAGGAGCTCTAAGGAGTAGTGATGGGACTCTCGCGCAACATACGCTCGACACTATTCGGGCAGGAGCATCAGAAGACGATATTCTTGCCGCAATCCGGCACGTCCAGGCCCATGCGGCTCTCTCCGCAGATCTAAGATGGAGAAGGGAGTGGCGGCTGGCCAATATCTAGTTACATACCTTATAATCATGTAGCTCGTTATATCAGCATGATTGCGTTACCTAACGTAGCGGGCGTTGTAGCACAGGATGGCATTGCGCTCCACCCTTCAGCAGCATTTGTGGCTTCAAGGCTTTGGCAGGACTCTGAATGGCTTGATGTCCAGAACGACATGGGATCGGGTTCAGCTCCTGGGACAGTGCCCTTTCCCAGTGTACAGAAGAAGTCAAATCCAAAGTCAGGGGTAATACCATGGCTTAACGCAGAGTCTCTTAACTTTACGCACGCTCTTGAAAGCTGTGGCGAGTGGTGATAGAATAAAAGTGCTTCAGGGTTCTTTGTTCCCTCGGAGGAATGGGAAACAACGATGCGATTATTGCAGCACGTATTCGATTCACCAGCAAATGCCGTGCTTTTCCCCTATATGGTTGAAATCTGAGTCATAACAAATTTGCTTCCAGCCAGTGTTTTCGGGATTCTAATCGATGATAGCCTAACGCAGCAGAACAGGTGAGCCGAGGGTGGGAGACACAAAAGGCAAGTCCGATTTTTTCTTGCTGGACCCCTCTGCCTTTGTGGCATTCATTCTCGAAATACATTCTCCATTCGTCAAACGAGTCAAAACGGACGTTGCGGTAGTAAAAAGAGTTCGCAAGGTTGTCGGCCCACGGCGGTATTCCGTGCCGTGATTGATATTGCCGTTCAGTTCACAGTCCAGTTTCGGTTTCAATGTGGGGCAAATATGATATGAGCCTCACATCGGTAAGCTTCGCCCCAATCTGCCCGCTGGTACCAGTGGACAGGCAGATTGATGGCAGCGAGCAGACTGGTTCGTTGTCTGACGAATGAGGAGTATATTCCGAAACTGGATGCCATAGCGGCAGAGAGGTCCAATAAGGGGGGTGTGGGAGACCTTATTCTTGTGTCTCTCACCCTCAACTCACCTGTTACAGGCCTCATCCTATCGTCGCTTAGATTCCGAAACGCTTGATGTTAAATAAATTGTTACGAATCGGATTCAGAGCCTATGGTGGAAAAGCACAGCATGTGCCGGAGATCCGAATATGGTGCTGCAATAAATGATCGCTGAAAAGGTCTCGAAGTTTCCATCGGCTCACGCTCGAACCTACTTTCATCGCTAAGTCTCAATGGCTAACCCATTACCCTGGGAACAAAGAAACTATGAAGCATTGTTAGTCTATCGCGCCTCGCCATTGCATCCATAGATTCTCACCTTCGGTTCACCTTCTCGGATATGCAGACGGCACAAAGACTACAGATTCCCCACAAGCAAAGGAGATGGCCTTCTCGAAACATATATAGAGCAAAGGCTCTCTGGCTTTCGACCTATAAAAGACTACCTTGATACATGTTGAGAGCCTGGTACTGTAAATCCGATAGAACTACACCTTTCCTCGCCCAATCCCATCAGCCGCCACACTACATAGACGATGTCGGGAAAATCTCGAGAACAGCCAAATCGTTCCAAGGTGGAGAAGAAAGTACTGCGACAGAAAAGGGACCGGCGCAGGACAGTTCTGGAGAAGAAAGCTCTGGAGTATAGCAAGATATGCGGGGCGGACGTTTGCTTGGGCATACGTATCCGACAGTCAGAGAAAGTCTTCATTGTCTCTGCAGATGCGTCCGGTTTCTGGTCGCTTCTTGGCTCTAAATTGGTAAGTGTAAGTGGGTACATATAACTACAAATTCCTGACACCTTTAGGGGTCTTATTATCCAACTCCAGTCGAGAGAAATGAAAAAAAGTCTGCAGACAGCGTAGCTCCTGTAGCTCCTGTGAATTATATGTTCAATGCGGTATGCTTTCCAGAGCGCGCAAGAAGACAAGAACCTCTGCTTTTATATTTATGACCCGATAGATTGAAACAATATTTTGACCTTGGCTTTATCCTACACATTGAGTAAAGGGGTCTGTTGAGGGAGCCAGAGTCGATTCCGTGTTGATGTGGACATCCAGCCATCTAGAGGCCTACCAAGACCTTGAGGCTTAGAGATCCCTTGAATCATCAATAACTGAAGAAATCATAAACTGAATAAATCCCTTAGTAGAGACAGCATCGAGGTTCTCTGAAGGCGATATCGCGATCCAAACGCTCAGAATGGGCTGTATGTCACGGAAAAGACCTGAGGTCGCTATAGCGGCAACTATCCGTGTTTATGAGTTCGGGGTGGTCTTGGCAGGCGGACCCATACGTTTTATCCCTGTATCTACTGTGTATTCAATACATTCATTGGCCAGTGTCGTTGCTATTAATTTTCCAGTCGACTCCGATATATCGATGAATATCCAGAGGGCATGCCTTATTTAACGACCACTTCTTTTAGATGACTGCCTGACATGGACAGCTAGAACATTTCTCCACCTTGGAGTAGCGTATTCCTGGTGGCCGCCCGCAAGCAAAAGCTATGGGCCTGGCACTGGACAAACAATACCAGGGGCAATGTTCACCCTGTCCCTTGCCCTCGGAGATATGTATTTGGCCTTAAGGCACCCAGCCTTAGGGCGGGTGAACTGGGGCTAGGCCCTTCTGGCTGCGGACCTACGTCTATATTAGACCTACGTCCACAGCTCTCCGTCGAGATTGGCTTTCAGTCTGCTAGCTGGTGTCCAAGCTAGCTTTGCAGCCATGACTACCTGAGATCTCTAGCTCTATTTCGGCACCTGTTCTAAACCTTTTGGTTTCTGTCCTATGATCACTAGTAAATACTGGGAGCATTTCGCCGCTTGATTCCGGTGGCTGTCTTCCTGTATTACCTGCGTGACTGAATCCATGGTCTTTACTGTGAACTACTTCAAAACTCTGAATTTGGAAAATAAATGGTGGGGAAGCTTGGCGGGAATGCTATATGCCGCCTGGTGGCCTCTAGGTGTAACGGCCTGGTTTATTAATTGCCAAGCCACACCGCTTTACTCGCTTCCGCCTGTAGGTGTGAAAAATCTGTGCTGGAAACCTTGGGGGGTTGCTAGGTATTAGGAAACGCACGGACCGCTAGATGCGACCGTTCATTCAATTCTATATTTGGCCCATGTGTTCCAATTTGAGTACACCGTTGATCAACCCAGAAGCTACAGCAGGGTGCTCATCCTGATTGAACATGATTGGTCGTACATTTGAGCGACTCTCCATCTCCGTTTGTCCAGTTCTGTTGGTTCAACTAAAACCGTGTGCGCAAATACGGTTAAGTTAGAAACAATAAGCTTACATTTTGGAGATTCTCACTCGAAGATGATCAAAAATAGCCTCAACGTAAAGGGTAAGAGAAGCTTTTCCTTGAATTTGGTCTACCATCAGTCACAGAACAGGCAATACTCTGCAGTTGCCCCACACGTCCTCAGAATTCGAAGTAGAAGCAATTTTCGGCGTCACATTTGCGTTTTTCATGACTGTTCAAAATGCCAAAGGAAAGTCATTGATGGATGATGCACTTGAAATAGCTGTCATAAATAACACACAGAGCATAAAACTTCCCTCTCTAAAAGGACGGTTCCTTAATAACAACTATAGCCCACTCCAAACATCGGCGGCTGTTGATGGCTTCATCAAAGGAATCCTCCGCCAAGCATCATTCGGCCAGAAAATCGAAACGCCAGAAACAATGTCGTCGCAGGGCTAATATAATGAAAAAGGCATGGGAGTATAGCAAACTGTGCAACGCAGATGTGTGCGTGGGCATTCGCTTGCGAGAGACTGGTCAGGTATACGTCCTGTCGGCGGATGCTTCGGGCTTCTGGGCTTTCCTTAATTCGCAGTTGGTAGGCAATTGCTCCTGTAAAGCACCTCGCAGAGACAGACAAGAACTGACTGACCCTCAGGGCTCCCATTATCCCACTCCGTTGATTGTGACCGATCTTGATTTTGAGAAGGAAGGTAATCAGTCAGGATTATGAGATAGGAGATTTGAAATCTAGAGCGAAGAATCTACATCAGCTGTTTTACCGCATATAAGCCCTAGTGCCCTCCACCTCGGTAGATCACCCGCGTACTTTCTTCCCGAGCACCCCACGTAGACCGTGCTAGGCTGCATTTGTTGGTGTCAGATCTACGATCTTTTCCCTGTAGCTGAGCCACGTACGGCAGGTCCGGAGCCCTGGTCGGGCCATTGTGGCCTGAGGTATCAAGACCCACGACAGATGAGGTGGTTGATGCAAGCCTCATGAATGCCACCTTACGGCCATGCATCACAGCTTGCGATTAATATCTCCTGAAGCCGAGAGACCTATACACTAGGTTACCTGTTGTTGAATACCAAAATTGAATTAGGAAACCTCTACATTTTAATTCTAACCCTAATAGCTCACATAGGTCGACAGCCCACACAAATAGGATGAGGGTAACGATAAATAGATCATACAAAACTTTCATGCTTTGATTAATGAAACTGACTTTTAAATCTTAGACAGTAAAACGGGGGCAAGCTTATCTACTATCCTCCACACATGTGGTGCTGCGACATATGGCACTCAAACACACGTGTGCAATGAGTACATATGTTTTTAGAAAAGACAGTAGTTTTTTGAGTTGTTTTTTTTTATCGGAATTCAACGCCAAAATCAGAAATCAAAAATTTAACTATCTACCTGAGGCAATCTACAGGAATGGTCGAGGTTACGGAAATGTTCATGTACACGGCTTTTAGATGGAATTCTGTGATGAGTCAAACAGTCTAGCATAGATTCTCTTTGGTCTCATGGTACTCGGAGTTATTCAGTACGAGGGGCATCGATATTAGATTCACCTTTGCTTACAAGCTTCTTCCTCAAACCCTTTCTATAAACCCCGTGCCTCTGAGCCACTGATCAATGGCAATGAGCGCGTCGCCAGCCATTGCTGAGTCGTCAGATACGGCCGTAATTTCGGTTTATCGTGGTGGAAGGCGGGTGCTAGAGTAAGAGACTTCGAGGGCTGGAGAAACGAAGCGCGGGGCCACAGATGCGAACGCATGGTACTTTGGCTTCATAATAATTGGGCTTGAAGCGCGAGTGATAATGATCTTCCCCGTACTTGGAATATGGTTGTAATAACGCTAGTCTTGAAGTGGTCTAGCCTAGGTTATGTGTGGGTGCCTGCACGGAAGACGGAAGGCCCTGGGACCCGCTTCCCATTTAGCCACGAGGAATCCGCCCCAGCCAGATCGCTAAGAACATGCATCAGGAATCCAGTGCGAGTTCGCATTCAGCAGAGGGTGAAGCATCCTTAGAGATGATAAGAGCCCCATGAGATTGTTTAAAAGGCTTCCAGCTGCGGTAACCCACTCTCCTTGAAGTGTATCACCGAACGATCAGATAGGTTGACAGCATTCTGTTTTTTATTGGTCAGGATCATCTACTCCTTTCTCCACATTGGAGTAGATTGAACCTCAATGACTGCCTTGAGGCTTGGCAGATTCCACCAAGTAAGAACAAACTACTTTGTCGATCAGACACAACGAGGAAGAGTGGCGGGGGCGATAAGACATGTGAAAGAATAGCCACGTTGCTAGAGCAAATGATTGACAAGGTTGAGGCTCCGTCGCTCGGGATTCCATGCAAGATGCTGCTCATTGCACCAATCACCTGAGCGCACGACACTTGCATGACTAATCGGGCCGCGCAGGCTGTATCGTAGGGGTTCAGATGCCGCTTGTGCGTCTGACTGCTGGTAAAGAGATCTTGCTTGCCTCTGCGCGCGCAATGTCCATCGTCTGCCAAATCACTCGCGCGGCTTGCGATGATGTGGCAGGCAGTGTTTGGGTATATCGAATGACTATCTTTTGACCTCGCGGTTGGTTATCATGACATGTGTTCCTTGGGAGTATTGCGCCGCCCATCAATCCGGACTCGTTATAACCGAGCTGGAGTATTTAACAAGACTGACGGAACTACGGCAAATTGTGGGAACTATCATTACCTCAACAAAATGCAAAGCTATCCCAAATCAACTGAAGTTGTTACTCTTTCTATTCCTCGAGAACGCACCACATATACTACAATCGCAACACTTGGTCCTATTACTTCGCCAAGTCATGCATCAAATGCGATAAGCTCTCACTCTGGTTCCTCTAATGGATCCTCTCATAATACCCAGAACACCCTGATAGGGGCTATAGTGGGAATTGTGGCCATAGCGGTGGTCTTGCTCGGGTGGTGTATATTGTGCAGACGACCCCCTCGCGGCCCTCGAGGAGACGCCGCTAACCCCAAACTCATGAAGTCCGATAGCCGCTGTGGCGACCTTGGGTCTTTTCTGTGACATGCAGACCATTCGAGTGTTTGGATCACGATGACGCCTTCAGAGACAGCCCCACATTGATGGCCTATAGCGATTTGGCTCGGCGATAAGTGATTGGATCGTAGCCTGCCGCACAAACCAACGCACCTGTATCCGCAATTGCTGCATATGGAACCTAAAAGTTGGCTAGGCGAGGCTGACACGTCCGTCCATCATCTGGCCAAACAGCATGTTGCCTTTAGTTGTGATGGATACAAATTGCGAAGAGGGGTACAGTGGGAAGCCGGCGGGATTCAAGCTCGATAACGGACAGATCGCAGTCATGGTATCTTATATCAGGGCACGTAACACCTCATAACCCAGGCCAAATCGCAAGACCACGTAATTCGCAGGACCTTTTGCATAAGAATACCTACTCCACCGCATTTCTCGCCCGTGCGCTAAGTCAATCACAAATCCAAAGCTCCACAGGCTAAGAGGGGCGGTTCAAGCTCGTTGGGCAGCTTGGAACTTATATCTCTACAGCGCCTAGGTGTTCCGACAACCTTGAGCACATGCAAACCGTCAATCTTGCCCTGGCTCGTCCTTCGTTCACGATATATTAAGTGGGGTCTTGAAGGCGCGCGGGTATTATTAATAGAAGCCGGGAATATGGGCGCTAAATTCCGCCGCGCTCTGCGTTTCAGCTTTGGAACGAGAGATAAAAATTTTAACATAAATCACCCATCAAGCCTCGCCCATTTACACCGATTTATCACTCCATTCCAGTCCACTTGACTACTTTCGACCTACCGGAAGAGCGCTCTACCCAAGTTTCTGTTCACCCTATCAAGATGTCAACAAACAGATTCATTCAGTCTTTCACTCACGTTCCAAAGGAGCTTTTCCGCCTGAACACAGGAGCCGCCGTTCGCCTCCGCGCTCAGCCAGGCCCAGTGCGACCGCAGCGCAGCTTCGACCTCCTTACAGCCGCAGGAAAAGTTCAACCTAAGGCTCTCGACCCAGCTTCTTACGAATGTAAGTTATCAATGGTCCTAAGAAACCTACTAGGCTACTTCGTTTCGTTGACAGGTAAACGCAGGGCCGAATGGCGCTTCTATGCGACCCAACTCCGCCGGACAGCAGAACCTCGTTCGCACTTTCAGGGGCTCTACGATTTACGTATATGCTGTTCCTGCAGGTTCGTTCCCACCGATCCTGAAGTCCCTTGTCCAGAACCTATCTGAACATTTCATAGGAACTACATTGCCTGACGATCTCATCCTCGTCCACGAATTTGGCGACCATTACTCATTGCAGGCTAGAAAGGAGATGACAGTGGAAGGTAATATAGTCCTTTGACATTCAAATAAAGTCCTGACTGACAATTGAACAAAGAGCTGAACGCTAAGATCAATGCTTTCCTGACCTCCAAGGGACAACGATTCACTAAGGAGGAATGGTTGCAACGGTACCCTCAAGCTACCGAGTGAGCTTTGCCTGGGAGAGTTTTACGGGTCAAGCGTTTATGCTTGGATATTCATTTGGGGAACAGATATAGTTATAGCACTAAGTTGATTATGTGCCGGTCCCAGCCGTTTGTCCATTCGAGTTTACCAGCGTACCAGCCCGGCCAGACGACCCTGCGTAGCACATGTAATTCCCAGAATATGTGGCAGTCTCCAGCTAGGAAGGAAGACTGAGATTCCAACTAAACAGCGTGTATTAATCCGAGGTAGCAGGCAGCACGCTAGCATCTTGCACCGATCGGGCTCAAGCATACAGGCCCTAAGCCCAGCAAAGCCTCGAACTAACTGGGATGACTGTGCAATGACCTCTGCCTTGACCTCGGTGTCACTGTTTTCTTCGCTGTCTCGTGGGCGCCCTCCCCCTTGCTTCATCGGAATGGAGGCGAGTGTCGCAAAAGTCTGCAAGCGGTAATCTCTGATTGAGCGCTATCGGCGTCTGTGGCTGGAACAAAGGCGCTTGATAACACATTTGGAAGAAACGATGTCGAAAACAAGTTGAATAATGCGTTTTGTACAAGATGAAAATCCCGGCTATGGATTTGACATATTGTAGTTATGCATGTTGCCTTGCATGTAGTCTGAAATGGGGAGATCCCTATAACCAGAAACTCGAGCCACGCGAAGTCAACCAAATCATGTGATTTATTTGTCATCTTAACGTTACCTACGCGGTTTTCGATTTCGCTTCAACTGTAAACCAACATCTTCCCTAAGACATCGGGTCGTCAGGCTCAAGACACTTTTCGTTTTATAACGAAACGATGTTCCACGGTTTTCTTTGTCGCGCGCATGTTTCTGCTTGTGGCAGATTTCGTACTCCGAATCGTCGAGCTTTCTCATACGTGTCAACGCACCGAACCTTTCCAGCAAGTCTCTATCGATTTCAAATCCACCGCGACTCGCAGCTCTTTGACAGAGCTACTGGACAAGATGATTGGGAATATGAGGATGGTGTTGAGGTCTCCGCGGATGGCTTGGTGCACCCGAACATTACCACTGATTGTACGCGAGATCCCAACCAATCCTCATTCTTCACTTACTCAGCCCATCCAGTTTCTAATGGTGCATTACTAATGCCAAATACACACTTCATGCAAGAGATCACAAGAAGGTCATTCGATCACTATCTGGATAACTTGGAAAGTGACCAAACTTCGGCCGAACCTCATTACTTGTGCATACCGAAAGGTGATTCAAGGTCCTATCTTCATGTACGAGGCTAATTCATTTCTCCTACTTAAGGCACTTCTATTCCCGATTCGTTGACTCTGTTTCGTGAACGCACCTCTCGCTTCTCCCTGCAGCCTGCGCATCCCATGTCACTGGATAGTATGTTCAACAAGTAAATCGGGAAAGACATATTTGCTGATAGCCAAAGGTCTAAACAAAACTTTGACTCGATTCTATCTCGACGCTGGCCTTGTTTTCAAACCTGACGACTGGCTTGGGAGGAATCCTTACCACGAGGCATCTTTTGATGATAAAGAAGAATGGATGAGCAAGTGAAATAGGGCGAGGCAGAAGAATGAGCCTAAACTTCATTGTCCTGGAGGAGTCTCATGGGTACAGGAAAACGGATGTACATTAGGAAAAGAGAATTGCAGAAGCTTGCTATCAAACACTTTGGAGTCCATGAATCCGGACTTCCCTTCTCATCCTACCAGTCTCACGTGACCTCGTGGTTGCCCTATCTTGTTGGCTGTGATTCCTTCCTGGGAGTGTAGTGTTCTTCCTAGGAACGGGCCCAGGCGCAGCGGGGCCGTTCCTTTGTTCCATAATAGTAGGCATGATGTCGGTGGTTCATCTTACCTCCAAGGGGTCGGATGGCCATATTAGTGAAACTACTTCAAGAAAGTTTGGTCATCTTCGAAGTCAAATAATGACCGTACCTCGCCACGACCCGCGCGAGTCGACCCAAACGGAGCTTACCCATTTCTTGGCGGGTAATGGGTACCCGCGGGTAGTCAAACAATGCAAACAGGTGGAAACCTGTGATTTGCATATTTTATGCATATTCGAGCTGTATCTCGAATCCGAGCACCGTTGCCAGTTTCCTGTTTCCAACGTAAACCGCCGTTGACAGTGGGCGTTTAATTGAAAATGGAAAAGCATCGATTACCAGTTGGTCTCAAGACCCAGCTATTCTCAAGACCGTGTTGGTCTCAAGACCGTGTTGGCCTCAAGACCGTGTTGGTCTCAAGACCGTGTTGGTCTCAAGACCGTGTTGGTCTCAAGACCGTGTTGGTCTCAAGACCGAGCTATTCTCAAGACCGTGTTGGCCTCAAGACCGTGTTGGCCTCAAGACCCTGTTGGTCTCAAGGCCGTGTTGGTCTCAAGACCGTGTTGGTCTCAAGACCGTGTTGGTCTCAAGACCCTGTTGGTCTCAAGGCCGTGTTGGTCTCAAGACCGTGTTGGTCTCAAGACCGTGTTGGTCTCAAGACCGAGCTATTCTCAAGACCGTGTTGGCCTCAAGACCGTGTTGGTCTCAAGACCGTGTTGGCCTCAAGACCGTGTTGGTCTCAAGACCCTGTTGGCCTCGAAATTTGTTGAACCAACTTTGGAACTGTGTCCACAGATGTTCAACATGGCTGCCAACTTGCCTAACATTGTGGACGAACTACGCTCCCATAGACTTTTCGAAATAATTCCTATAGATGTTCAATTCGACCTCATCATGAATAGCATCTGTGCAGGACACAAAAAACACAATTTCCAGGTAGTACACAGCATGCCCTCCAAGCATAAGACAATGGCCACCGATGGCTTCGATGAACGACTCCTCGGATAAGTATAACTCGGCCAAAAGGTTAAAGTGCCCAAAACAATGCCGTCGCAGAACAACTATGATGAAACAGGCAATCGAGTATAGCAAACTTTGCAATGGACTTATGCGTGGGCATTCGTATGCGAGAGACGGTTCTGTCGGTAGATCCTTCGGGATTTTGGAGGTAATTTGCAGGAAGGATGAAAACTAACTTTCCAGAGCCCTCACTATCCGGCTCCGTTACTAGTGACCCTTCGCGGTTTCGAGAAGGAAGAAAGGCAACCGGCTAATATCAATTGGGCGGAATCGGGAAACCCGATGGCTGGAAATAATGACATGAATCAGCTTTTTACATGCTTAATGCTGTCAACACTATCAATCGACTGCTATCTAAGTGGGCAACAATGTGGGATTAGCATTGGTCCCCTCAGCTTTGATATGATCACGTGAATAGAATGTAGCTTTGTTATTGGTCATTCTCCCGTACTCTTTTCTCCACATTGGAGTAGCAATACCCATGTATGTAAGTATTTACATACCGACTCAAGCATCCTTTGGGACTGTTGGACGCCTGTCCCAAGTGATCATTCAGTTGGCTTGCAGTCAGGAGTCGCGGTTCCTTCCATGACATTGATTTCCTCGCGTGATGAGAGTCATGAATCCCAAATAACTATACAGGTGATTCAAGGAGGAATGCACTTAAATTCATGACTTATCAAGCAAAAAGTTAAAAGAGCTACGATGGAGTTCCATCCTCTTAGCCCTATAGAAAATAAGGTGCGCTTTACTAAGATAGTCAACATCCCGACTAGGGCTCCGCTAATTATGTCTAAAATGGAAAGATAAAGAAACGGCGCAAGGACCTCAGAAGGCCTGAAAAGCAGAATCTAATACTCATGTTCGAAGACCATGGGCCTCAGAAGCATGCCTCCGCAGGTGCATCTCGTGTAGGACGGATAGATCGCAAAAATTGCATCTTCGGTCCATCAAGTGCGAGTCTCTAAAATGCCTTCTCACTCCATTATAGTCTGCATATGCCTTGGGACATTGAAAGCATGCGAAGGTTTGCTCTGCATTTAGGATATGCTTCCTATCAGAGGTAAGTCCCTTCGTCCCCGGTGTAGTCGACGGCGTAGCACCCTTGATCTTTCGAGCTGGCGGAGGGGAGATAACGTCCTCACTGTCGGACGGCGCAGAGCGCTTCCGTCGCCCTCGAAGAGGACCGCCCTCCTGAAAGCCGCAATATTGTATTCCAGCAGCAACAGCTTTGTTGCGCCGCGTCCATTCATCCTCTAATGAATCGGTGGTGGGCCAAGTAAAGAATGTCTCCACGAGAAGGATCTGCTCCGATGGCATTGCAAACTCCTTCCGTAATACCTCGCGCGCAGGCTCATCACTGACAGCCCCACCGGTCAGCTGTCTTTCAATGTCAATCACCGCCTGTTGCCGACTGAAATCACGGCGTATTTCCTTCCGCCGTTTGTCCTGCAGACGACGGCGCAAATTTTGGACTTGACGTCTCTGGTCCTTCAGCATCGCCCGCGACGCTGGGTCATGAGGGCGGCCACCGCACTGGGTCTCTAACTCGCGTTGCCAGCGTATAGCCGAGAGCAGTTCAGGGTCTTTCTCCACTGATTCCCGATCGGCGTCGCTCAGGTATCGTGGCCGCCGCCGATCAATCCAGCGGCTCATCCGAGTCACAGCCTTGGAGAACTCTTCATCCGGTTTGAGGCCGCACATGATCTCCTGTAAGCCAGTATGCCGACGGGGACGATAATGTTGAATAAACGTCCTGCTACTAGCGTGCGCCATGATCACATTACGCTGAGCTTCACTGACAAAACCTAGCCAATGACTTAGCCTGCTAATCTAGATATATAAGAGCATGGGCCGTTTTGAGTCCACTCACCACTCTTATCAAGTAAATCACCACCTCCGTATCGGAATTGGTGCGAAAAAAAATGATTCAGGAAGCCGTGGATTTCACTGGATGTCCTGAGCTGTGCGTCGAGTGTGCTTCCGTTCATAGGCGTCTCCCACAAGATGCGGGGCGGGCTACAGGTTACATCCACTTTCGGAAAGACATAGTAGTTATCCATCTCTTTCTTCAAAGGAAGTGGCATTTCCTGTCGGCCACCCTCGACAAGTAGCTCCCGAAGGTCTTCCATCGAGTTTAAGTGAGACGCTTCAAAGGCGTTGACGTAGAACAATATGATGAAGAGTAAAACATGCGGACTGAAGACAAGCGATACGCCGTAGACGATTTCAGGTAGCGCGAACGTATTCCTATTTAATATGAACCAGTCAGTCTGAGCGTAGCAAACAAGCCCTGGGACAGGGCAGGTGCATGACATCGTGTTCGACCTACAGCTTCGACATGCCCAGGACGCTTTTCACAAACTGCGGCTGGAGTTCTATCATCGGCTTTGGAGGCCCTTCGTCCGGATCCTGCTGGAGTGATATTTGCAGATGCTTAAACTGAAGGTCAAGTATTGCTTGTTTTCGGTTGACGGTAAATAACCCAATGGTATTATATAGACATAGGAGAATCCGCTGAATTCCTAAGTGGAACCGCTTTTCCCGGGTTTGGAGGATTGTCTCATTGAACGGAACCATATCTTCGATATAAACTGGGACGTTTGCCCGCGGTTGTTTGTCAAGGCCACGTTTGTCTACTAAATGTCTCATGCCCTATCGATTCTCGTCAGCGCAAGCCTCTGGGAGACGATAGGGGGAAAGGAGAAGCGGTGGGAATCGGGTAACACACCGTGCGAACCGCCTCAGCCATCTCTTTGCTCATTTCTTGTCTAGTGACTCGAGTGTAGTAGATTCGGAAGTACTTCCAATCCGCTTCAAGGGAGCTGGCCTTTGTATAGCCTTTCTGACGACGACCATCGGGACTGTACTCCAGCTTCAGGCACCAATTCAGAAATCGATGCATGTCATTTGGAGACGCCTCGCGCAGTGCATTCTCCGCATTGGCCCACTGTCGATCGGTAGACGGCTCCATTGCTTTCACTTGGCAGAACCTGAGGGAAGGCATGTCAGTTGTTATGAACACGCTGTGGACTTCCAGCAACATCCTGGTAAACCTACCAAGCCCAACGCTGTTTCAATCGGAGTTTCAACTTCTGCGTTCCGTGGGATCGGCCGTAATCATCCGGCACCTGCGCCAGGTCCTCATCTGTGTCGTCATCTGGGAGTTGGTACCGGGCCTGGTGGGCCCGTTCCACATTCAATAGGTCTGCTTGTGATGAGTCTATTCCACTATTTGGACTAGACCTCTTCCGTGCAATCCACCGAGCCGCTGGAGGGGAGCATTCCGGCTCGGTGAGATCGGTGTCAGAGGAGTCGGGCTCGAACGGCCTATCCTCGTCCGTATCGACGGGGGACGTACAAGAGGATTCGCTTGTGATTCCATGGTTACTGGCATCGGGCGACCGACGACGACGCATGGCTGACAGATTCATTGACCGTGAGGAGGAACGACTTTAGAGGTCGGGGCGTCTTAAGAGACGATTGAAAAGAAGGAAGAACGGCGAGAGACCAGGGGGAGAGCTTCGAGGTGGCGTTTGAGGCGAAGAAAGGACCCAGTTGAACAGGGGATGGATGGTCGGCTGGGAAGAGGGTATTTATAGCCATGGCAGCTGGGTGCTGGCCAGAGTTCAGCCTGCGTGGTGCTGAAGGCCATTTTTGGCGCCCCTTTGTTTCGGAGGGGTGAGGGGTGGAGCGATCGATGAGCCCTCTGAGAACCCAGGATGTAAGCGCGCACGGATTGGCTGTCTGAGGCAGGAAGCGGTGCGTGGTTGAAAGGAGCGGGAGCGTGGCGGAGGGATGTTGCTGAAAGGCGGCCATTTTTGGCGTCACCTGCCGCCGAAAAAGGCAGCCAAATAGCAAAACGAAATTCTTAGATAGAAGAATTATTAGAATAATAAGCTTAAAAGAGCTTTAGCTAACTTAGAATATTATATTAAGGTTAGTATTCTTGCTAAATCTAAAAGAGTTTTATTTAAATAGGATGATATTATTTATATTCTTAATAACAAGATTTTATATAAAGATCTATAAAGGTTTAATAATAAATAACTAATATTGTTATTGATATTTACTATTATAGATATGATAGATAGGCCGGATTAGATAAGTTTTGGGTATTTAATCTAAATCGACTAAACTGATAATCTTTTTAAAAGATATACCGAAGATATTTTATCTTAAAGAGAGTATAGATAAAAGTCTCTTATTTATTTTTAGTTTTTTAATTACTAGAACTTGTACTTTATCTTACTAGAGATTAATAAAAAAGATCGAATAATTTATTATTACAACTCATTTTCTGTTAAGGAAAATAGAGATCTAGTTATATAGAAAGCCTAATATAGGCTAAGATATATAAGATTTTAATTTGAAGAAGTAATATATTTTGTCTTGTTTAAGTAGGATATTTCTAATATATTTTAAGCTTATATCTTGGTAGCTAGATATATAGAGTTATAGTATAAGAGTTTTATAGAACTTCTAACTATTAGTAAATAGTTTCTGACTAGATCTCTGTGAAAATATAGTATTAGAGAGGATAATATTCGATATTGTAAAAAGGCTGCTTATATATATAGAAAGGAGATTTATATTAAAAAGATAGTGTCTTAATTCTATCTTATATATTAGTCTTTATTTATTAAGTAATAGTATATTAAAGAAAAAGGAATAAGATAGTTTATAAATAAAACTAGATTTTTAATTTATAACCTGGACTAGATAGTATCTAGTAAGAGTAGCTTTTTCTAAAAGCTTATAGATAGTCGAATTCTTAGTATAGATCTTATTTTTCTATATTCTAGGTTATTAGATAATCTTGAAGCCCTTCTTTAGCTTTATTTATTATATAGAGAGATCTCTTTATCTAAATATATTCTATTATAGTATATTTTTAGAATATATTTTGTATAGAAAGCTTATAGATAACAGATTTCAGGATATATATAAACTCTCTCCTTTTTATATATATATTTATATATATTCGACTGATAATCTATTTCAAATTTCTTTCTATATCTAGTATATCTAAAAAGGCCCTTAACTAGATAGAACCTTTTATAGTATATTAATAATTAATATTCTTTAAAAAAAGCCTAAGAATAGTAGAGTTCTTTATATATATAATCTCTCTTTTTTTTGGTATATATATTTATACTCTTTTAGGTTATCAGATGATTTTAAGTCTTTTTTATAGTTAATTTTATTATATAGAAAAGATCTTATTTCTAGATATTATCATTCGATATATCTTTTCTAATAGTAATTTTGACAGAAAGTTCTTAGATAGTTGATTATTAGATATATATAATATTTATCTTTATAAAAAACTTAATATTATTCTATGTTATAACGTGATTTTAAATACTTTTTATAGTTATTTTTTTTATGTAGAGAAGTCTCTTCTTAAATAGAGATAAGAGATGGTAGGTTTAGATTTTAGGATCTAGAGGTTTAAAGAGGGAATAGTAACTCTATATAGATAGAAGTTAGATTATATTCTTGTTAATTTAATATTTCTTAACCCTTTAAACTAGAATATTAACTCTAAATTTTAGGTAGAAGAGATCTAGATATATTTATAAACTCGATAGATTATAAAAATAGAATTTGAATCGGACTTTAACAGACTTGTGAAAGGTCTAGCGAATCTATATAGATAGAAGACAGATTATTATTATATTGATTTAATATTATCTAGTTTTCTAAATGATTAGAGACTAGATCTAGTAATTTAGTAATATTTATAAAGAATATGATAGGAATAAGCTGAGGAAAATGAAGGCTGGTCTTACTTAATAAGATAAAGATAAGTTCTTTTTTTTTATAGAGAAGTAAGTTAATCCTAGCTTTATACTAATAAGATGATAAAGATTATAGATACTTCTGTTTTTTAAATAGTTTATATATAGAGATAGAGTAAGACTAGCTAAATAATCTAGTATAGACTAGAAATTTACCAGATAATACCAAAATTATAGGTTAGAAGCTTATAATAGATCGAGAATATCTCTAGATATATACCTTTAAATATTATATTTAAATAGTTTATAGTCTAGTGTTATATATAATAAAGTAAGTAATAGCCTCCCAGTTCTGTCCTAAACCTTTAGACCACCTCTAGATATCTTATCTATTTTATAATAGCTTTCTAGTTAGTAATTAATATTTTTTTATTAAATCCCAGCTTATTCTGGTTAATCATTACTAGTCTTGCTCTTATAGCTAATAGAGATTTTTAAATAATCTATTTTCTCTAGAGCCTAGTATAATCACTATCTTTATTAAGAATATTGGGGTTTTTTATTAATACATAGATAATCTTAAATCTTTATATTTATCTATTATTTAGATAATAGTCTTTCTCTCTAAGAATTATTTTATATTAGCTAGAGAATTTTATAATACTAATATAAAATATAGTATATTTATATACTTCGATGATTTTTTCTCTAGTAATATCTAGTTTTATATATTAGATAATAGTTTAGTGATAATTTTTTATAGATATACTTATAACAGATACCCATCTAGTCTAGAGATCGGCGAGAGATAATCAGACTCTATAATAGATAGAAAAAAGAGAGATATATAGAGTAGACTTTTAGTTTGATTCTAGTTTAGTACAGACCTATAAACTTAACTATCTATTCTTTCCCACTTAAATTAAGAAATATAGTTATATTCTTTTTAGAACCGATCTAGTAATTAGATTATTAATAAATTATAATATTTATTTATACTAACTTATCATAATAAATAACCTTAATTAATATCCTTATAAAATAATTCAGATTCTTTTATTATTAAGATATCTAGTGAAATTAGCTAGAATATCTAGACAAGATAGACCTAGTCAGGTAGAAGAGAAGACCTAGAGATATTTAAAAATATTATTATTAAGAAATAGATTTTTGGATTAAAACTAATAAAGATCAAAAAATTAAGATCAGAATTTCTAGGATATAATATTGAATAGATAAGAGATTATTTATCTATAATTGTATTAACTCTAGTAAAAGTAAAGATTCTGGTAATATCTATAAAAGGGTATAAAAGATAGGTCAATTCGGAAGACATATCTTTTACTAGCTATATATATACACTACAAGATATAAAGCGCTCTTTAGAGTGCTTAACTAGAGTCCTATTAATATTCTGTTGTATAGGCTTAAAAAAAGAGACCAGCTAATCTATTAATACCTTCTTTGTTGATTAAGTTTTTCTGCTCTTATAAAACAGCTCAAAGTTATAGATGATATTAGGATTATCTATCTGTAATAGAGAGAGCTTGATAATCTATTAGATCGATAAAGATCGATATTAAGAGATAGTATATAGTATAACTAGTAATAATATATTTTTTATACTTATAACTTAGTTTATATTCAAGATAGTAATAACAATAAAGCCACTTTAAGGGTTATTTATTATATAAACTATAATTTACTGCTAAATTATCTAGGTCTTTTTTTAAGATTGTTAGAGTAATATTATTAACATCCTTTCTATCAATGATATATAGAAATAGAAGTTATTAAGTATAGTAGATATAGTTAATATCTCTTTTATTATTAGACTATTTCCAGTAATATTTAAGGATAATTAACCGACTAGTTCTCTTATCTATATAGATAGAAAGATCTGCTAATATATTATTAATAAAGCTCTCACAATTCTTATAACACTATAGACACCCACTCTATTTACTATAACTATTATAAGGTATAAGATATAAATAATAGTAAAAGAAGAAAGATTCCTTATCTCTATTATTATAAGAGTATCTCTTATTACTACCAGAAATAGGTTATATTAAGATTATATAGAGATAATCCTAATATATCTTAAAATATATTATCTTATTAAGGACTATACTGTCTTTTTGAGTTAACAAGAAACAGATCAGTTTGGATAATAAAATAATATCGATACCAAAAATAGACTATAACTTATTAGAATCATTTATTTTATAAAATATATTATATTAGAGATAATTCCGACTATATTGTACAAATACTATTTCTAATATATATTCTTAGAATATTAAATACTGTCTTCTTTTAACCTATATACAATCTATTATATCGATCATAAATAAAATGCTATTATCGGGCTCTAAAACATAAAATATAATAATTCTATCTATAAACTATAACAGCTTAACTAGATAATATAAACTAATCCAACTAAATAAATCAGGATAAATATATAAATAATAGAGATTAAGAACACATTCTTTATAACTTAGAAAATATATATTAAATAACCAGATCTTATAACTAATATTATAATAAAAGAATCCCTAGTTATAAAAAAAATAGTAACCATAGACTAGGATATAAACTAAATAAAAAGCTATAACAATAAATATATTATTAATATCGAAGCAATATATAAGCATATTATAATAACTAGTTTAAGCAATCAAGATAGACTATCTCTTTTAGATAAATAATAAGATACTCTAGAAACTTCGAGTCAGTCTTAGCCTAAATTATAAGCGGTATAAAGAAACCCCAGAAAATTATTATACCTTACCTCTAGTATTTTTTTCGCTAACTCGTTATTCTTTATAGTTTTATAAAAGACTCGGTTAGTTCTGTTAAGATTGATATAATCATAGAAACCTAGCAAGATTATAATTCTATAGAAAATATCGAAATAGAGAAAGACCAATCTCCAGGCCGCTAGTATAGCTACAAAGAAAGTTTGATACTGTTTGAAACTGATTTATAACTAAAAGATATATTCTATAAAAGACTAAGAAGAAAATACTAATAAGGGAACTATAAATAGAGTGAATAGATATAGACCTA